ATGATGTCTTCAAAAATCAGCATGCTTGTGCTAGAAAATTTGAACACTAGAAACTGAAACACAAAAGTATGTTAGCCTCAACTCAAAATCCTCTTCACTCTTAGCCACATTCAAATTCGCATCACGACCCCTTCTTTTAGTCTCTCTGTGCATATACACACACGCACTATATATATATGTATATATGATTATAAATATAAAAGACCTTCAAACATAGAAATACAGAAAGTTTAAAAACAATATTTTGTACAAAACATACTGACATTGCCATTTTGCTTCAGATTTAAGGTTTCTTTTTTAATCTGATGAATGTCACTTCTCTTCCATGGTGTCTTGATCTCCCTGAGGTTGTTTTCTTTGTTCTGCATACTTAGTGACCATTACTGTTTTTTCAGTCTGTTTTCTGTTTAAACTTTCTCTGGTTTTACATGAGGTTATATTTCATTTTTATTTATATGTATTATTTTGTATATGCCCTTGAAATTTTAACTTTATGATACCTTTCAAACTACAGAGGGTTGTAAATATATATATAAATCTCTTTCTTAATCAATTATGCCCCCCATATACCAAAAATACAAGAATATGTGTTTAAACCAGGAATTTTATAGCATAGGCTGTGCTTACATTTTGAATACAAGTAGACTGTATTTTTGTGTAACCCTTTTTCTAAGTGAGGGGAAATTTTTCTCATTATCATTTATTAAAAATATTCCCATATTGATTTGAAATGTCATTTTTACCTTAAATTTCCATTTATGTGTCTGATTCTGGACTCTGTTTTGTACCATTTATCTAATTGGTGCAGAGGCTCCATACCTGAAGCTGTTTAAACACCGCGGCTTTATTTGTATATTTTGTCCTCTGTTAGGTAGGTGTGCTTCTTGATTTTTTTTCTTTTTTATTGAATTTATTGGGGAGACATTGCTTAATAAAACTATATAGATCTCAGGTTTACAATTCTATAACACATCACCTGTATATTGTATTGTGTGTTCACCAGCCCGAGTCAAGTCTCCTTCCATCACCATTTATCTCCCTTTTGCCCCCTGCTTGCCTTTTTATTTTTCAAAACTGCCATTGTGGGGCCTATACTTTTATACTTAAGATCCATTTACAGTTGAAAATGATGTATTTTAAAACAATGATTAACAATAATACTGGCCCACCAGTGTGGCTCAGAGGTTGAGCATCAACCTATGATCCAGGAGATCGTGGTTCTATTCCTGGTCAGGGCACATGCCCGGGTTGCAGGCTCGATCCCCAGTAAGGGGCGTGCAGGAGGCAGCCGATCAATGACTCTCTCATCACTGATGTTTCTATCTCTCTCCGTCTCCCTTCCTCTCTCTGAAATCAATAAAGATATATTTAAAAAAAGAAAGAAAGAAAAAAAGAAAACAATAGCTTACTGAGTTATTCATATTTTCCAAACATTGACACATTTCATCATACCATATTGAAAGGTCACACTTATTAATGTCACCATGAAGTTAATCAAAACAATCTTTAAGTATTGGGATAAAAGCTTTTTCAACATTCTAATTATGACTTGAAAGTGCAAAATCTATCATCGATGACAAATATTGTCAGTCGTTACCCTGGGCATGATAGATTCACTCACTTCCTTTATTTTTAAGAAAATGGTCTGTCTTATACCTAATTGTAATAACCACAGTTTGCCAGACATTTTTTTTCAAGTAAAAATGGTGTTTCAAGAGAAGCCAACTGGTTTAACCTGCAAATCAATCATGCCAGTGCTTTTCCTTAAAATAATTATATTATAGTATACAGCTGACATGCTTGATATGGACTTCCCATTTTGACACACAGAATAGTAAAAGTTATTTATATAAGGGCCAAAATTTGATAAAATTATCCAGCATGAATCAAGAACATTCTTAAATAAAGGTGCATTGTTCTTGCTGTGATATATGGTAGCAAAGAACACAATAACCGCCAGCAGTTTGGTGCCAGTGCCTTTAATTATGCTAAAGCACTAGAACTTTTACCCACCATTGTTTTTTACCATCTGGGCAAATGTCAACACAGTTAAAAAGGTAAATTATGTGTTATGATTATAAAAGCAGCTTGGACCTTGTGAATTCCTTGAAAGGATCCTGCTGGAATAATGTTCCCAAAGCTCAGTTTTTGTCATGGCCCTCCCCTGCACCAGAGATTCCATTGTGTATTGTTGCCCAGAGGGAATTTTAAGAATAGAACTTTTCAACCTAGAATTTAAACTTTATACAATCTTACATTAAGTTATCTCTTCATTCCATATGCTTCTTTGTGCCAACTGGCTCTAGAAAAGTGAAGTTATTGCTAGACCTGTTATAAACTGTGAGAGTTCACAGTTTCTTTCAGTGGATGATCCTATTTCCTTTGCCTGAGGGCCTCACCTTCTCTCACATTCTTTATATTTAGGTCCTGCTTTTTCTCAAGGTGCAACTCAAATGAGGCCTAAATAGGTCTCATAGATCTCCCTTCTGAAGGCACACACCACTTTGTATCTCTCCCATGTCACTTATTTTCTAGCTGGTTATAACCTCGTATTCCCAGAAGCCCCACAGGATACCTTGCATTCAGTCAGTGCTCAATAAATACTTGTTGAAGAAACAAGTGTTTGGTTGCATTGAGCGATTCTTTTACATGTTTCACTGCAGCTGCCATATGAGATTTCTGGCTGAAGTTAGGGTTAATGTTCCCTGAATAAAGTTCTTTTTGCTCTGAAGCTCATTACAGTACAAGGCAATTCAGTGCCCAACATTGATCCCATTAGCCAGGCTGTTCTTATTAACATTCTCAGACTTGTGTGAAAGTCTGCCAACCAAAGTGTAAGGATGCTAAAACACTTTGAACTGTGTAGGAGAGTATTGATTTTTTAAAAAAAAAAGTTACGTTTGAAGTTTTATTGAGGCAAAATTCCCACTTAGTTATTTTCCTTGGATATCTAGTAAGTTACTCAGCATAAAAGAATTATCCCTTAAACATGTGATCTTATTATTTTTCTTCTGATTTAAAACTTAGATATTTTATGGACAATAATGAAGCATAGTTTGATTATGGAATGCCTGTACCTAAATCATTTCCAGTTGATGATTGTTTAGAACAAGAGCAAGCTAAATATGCTGCCTGTAAATTGCATTAGAGACTAACGAAAGCTTGTCTTTGAAGGAATTTCAGAGAGCTAGTTATTTTTCACAGAAAACCCTAAAAAGATTTAGAATGTAAAAACAAAATGAGGTGTCAGTTTATGTCTCCATTTATCTGTCTAAATTGGGACAAACCTTCCCATATTTTGTCTTCAGTGATTTCAGGTATGGAAGGATAAGGTACATGTCTTACCTGGAAGCAAATAAGAATTGGTGCTTATTTTACTATATTTTGATCCTTGAGAAATGTGCATATATTTTCTCTCTAGGTAAAATAGTATTTATAATGGATACATCAAAGGACTTATAAGGAAAAGGAAAAGCCTTCTATTATTAGCAACCAAATCATTAATCGAAGGGTTCAATGAAATGTATTCCAGTATCAGTAACTCCAGCATAAGTTCTTGCTGTGCTAAGTGTAGTGGGCTAGAGGATACTCGTGCAGATCCTATATCTTCCATATCTGTCTGGAACCAAAATTCAGATATGCCCCTGTAGTCTGGATGACTACAAACTACCAACTAGTGCTTGCTCCACGATGAGCCACTGCGCTGCTGGTGCTGCTGCTGTTACCTGGAGAGCAGAATCACAGACAGTCTAAGGAGACCCTCTAATCACGGACCCCTTGCTACCACCATCCCCTTTGCCAGTGGGGTGGCTGCTGCTAGGTGTTCCCAAGAGTCAGGCGGGTCTCTGAGTTCAGTCACTCCCCCACCACTAGATAGACTGGGCTCCTTCAGGAGGTTCTTTTCCAGACCTTGCGGAGGGGGAAGGGGGATCAGTTTCCTTCCCCACCCATGGTTCTGTGCGGCCTAATGTGCTCCACGCCAGCTGATTCTAGTAACTCTCACACTCTCTCCCTTACAGTATAAGCTACAGGAAAATTTGTTGGGGACAGTTTCCCTCATTTGTTGCACCTTGGACCTAGCACTTCTGCTTCCTTTACCTGACCACTTCGTTCAGGGAGCAGACCTGCTTTCTCTCTCTTTCTGCATCCACGGTGGTTGTGCATTGTAACAAGTCTCCCCTACCGGTTCCATTCTCTCTTGGCTCTCTTCCTGCAGCAGCTTTCAAGTGTACATTTCAACAGTTTCTCACTCAGAAGGAAGAAAATATAAAATTCTGCTTTTTCTTGACTACTTCTCTGATAGAAATAAGATTTTAATTTGCTAAAACATGGCGACTTATTACAAAACACATTACTTAATCGTCTCCTGAACTCACTCATATTAAGTGCAAGAGTTTCCTCCTCCACAAACAATATATTCTCTGTGGATTTTCTTTGTACTCTGATTTTTTTCCTGAATAGCACACATTTCTATTTAAAATATTATTTTGTTCATTTTGGGACTTGGGAAATAGAAGCAGATACCATAAACTAAAAGAGTTAATTATTAAATCAAGAAAGATATCAGCTCTGGTACTTCCCCCCACAGATGTTAGAGTTGAGGTCATTCCCTAACCAGTGACAATTTCAGATTTGTTGAAAAAATCCTGAATAATTTGAGAGAAGATGAGAGGAAATCCAATGGAGCAGAACCACAATGAATTGTTGAATTAATCCAGTAGTTGCCTATACCAAGGAAAGAATGTATATGCATATCCTTTAAGGTTTCTACATGCATGTTATACTTAGTAGCTTAATATATTTTATTATATTACTTGATGAATATTACATATGAATAGATTTCAATAGATTTTTGTGAGATGGAACAGTTCAATCGATAGAGTTAAGATGACTGTTTGGTCTTCCCATCCCATGTAAACTGTACAAGTGCTGTGTGTGTGTGCTCTTTTATTTCTTTGAATGACCTTTAATGCTATATATATTTATTATGTTTTGCCTAGTTGGATACACAATGAATGATCTCATTTTTGAATGGCAAGATGAGGCACCTGTACAAGTGGCAGAAGGACTCACTCTGCCCCAGTTTCTGTTGAAAGAAGAGAAAGATTTACGATATTGCACTAAACATTATAACACAGGTAGGGGTTGACTATGCTTTATTACACTTGGGATTTGTGGTTTTATGGTAGTCAGATGTTTCTTAATTGTAGTGTTAGGTTAATTATTTTCACTATTTATAGCTCAATGTTTTTCATAGTAGTAGAGCAGGAAATGGAAAGTTACAGATGCCTTGACTCATTGCATATTGTTACTTAATTGGTTTGTATGGGACCAAAGAAATTTGCTTGGTGTTTAATTATATTTAAATATGTTTTTGTGTGAAAAGCCCAGAATTACATAGTAATGATGTTTCAAAAAAAAAAAAAAGTTCCTTTAATTTCTGTGTGAGCAACAAGATGTACTTTTTAACCCTGCTTTGGGAGTAGAAATTGTGTTTGCTAATAAAATGAAAGAAACTGCTTTTTTTTTTCTTTTTAGACATCAGCTGCTTAAACTTTTGGTCACAATTTCATGCATTTTTAAGGTATTGTTACATAAGTGCCTACTATTTACACTGACACAATATCCTTTTGCCTTTGAGGATAGATGTCAAATATAGTTACCCACATTAAGGGTGGAGAGATTCAAAGTGGTAGCTGTATATTCATGAGATCTGAGCTGTATATTCATGAAATCTGTTTACCTCTCTCAACTGACATGGGCTATTCCCCTAGTATTTATACTTACTGTCTAACCTATTCCTACAAATTCTGTTACACTGTCCTCAGAGGAAGCATCCCTTCAATGTGGTTAGTGCATGGCCTCCCACTAGCATCAGCTGCTGCGTTATCATTTTATTACAGTAACTGATTGCTCTTCGGCCCTGCATTTCCCAGAACTGATCTGACTTTTTACCATACAAGGTTTCTAATTTTGTTTAATCTCCTTAAGCAATTCATAGTCTCCGGTGAAAACATCACAGCCATTGTTTCACCCCTTACCACATTTCTTCAGGGCTGAGGCTGATATTAATTTAGTGAGAGTTCGAGTTTAACATCTCAACAAAACGATAAAGAGCCGACAGGTCAATACCAGTGTCCTTGCTCAGCTCTCTAGGGGCAGATGTAATGACAAAGAACTTTCAGAGAAAGGTTAAAACGTCTCTAGAGTTGTTTTCGAGTGGGGGGAACAAAGTGCCACCAACTTGGCGGTGTCTCTTGCCCATCTCTCCAAACCCCTCTTCTACTACTTCTCTCTGCCTTGCTCTGTTATCTGGCCACAGCGGCTCACTTTCTCCTGTTCACACACTCACTCCTGCTTCAGGTCCTTTGAACTTCCTCTTTCTTCTACACATAAGCCTCTTTCCCCAAATTAGCCCAACCCTAATACTCTCACGTACTTCAGGGCTGCTCAAGCATCGACTCCTCAAGCGACTCTACAAGCACATGTTAGACACCCTGATCCACTCCTCTTCCTGTTTTCACTGTCTGAAATTATATCTCCAGTTGACATGTTGACTTACCTATTGTGTTTCTCTCATTACCATAAGTTCATCAAACTAAGTTGTTGTAGCTGCTCTTTTCATTTCTGTATTTCTGGGGTCTGCTGAAGTGCACAGATACTCAATAAATGTTTATTGAGTAAAATAATAGAGTGGATTTGAACGTGGAAAATTGGTCTGTACGTGTGAGAATATTAAAGCCTGCTCCCCCTAGGAGGATGAGGGGGAGGAACAGTCTTGCTCTAAACAGGACATTTTTCCTTTAGATCTATATCAGCCAGAATGCTTCCCTTCTAATTTTATTGATGGATAATTGACATAAAATTGTAAGATAATTAGTATACAATGTGATGTTTTGATATATGTGTACACTGTGAGGTGATTTCCCCCATAGAGGTCATTAACATATTCATCACCTCGCATGTTTACCTTATGTGCGCATGAGAACATTTAAGCTCTAGACTCCTCGAAAATCCCAGTTACACAGTGCAGTGTTATCAACTCTTGTCACCATGCTGAGCATTATATCCTCAATCTCATTCACCTGATCACTAAAGGATGCTTTTTAAAAAATTAACTTTCCTGAGATATAACTTACATACTATAAAATTCACTCATTTAAAGAATATAGCTCAGTGATTTTTAGTATATTTACAGATATGCAACCATCACTATAATTTTGGAACATTTTATCAACGGAAAGAAAAAAAACCCTTACCTTTATTAGCAGTCTTACCCGCCCAGCAACCATAGGCAACCACTAATCAAGTTTCTGTCTCTATGGCTTTATATTTTCTGGGTGTTCCATATGAATAGAATTATATATGGTCTTTGTGGCTGGTTTTTTTCACTTTGCATAATGTTTTTGAGGTTCTTCAATGTGATAGCATGTTTTAACACTTGGTGAATTCTTAAGGATTTTTTTTATATGCAAGGTAATGTCATCTGCTTATAAAGATAGCTTTACTACTTCTTTTTCAATCTAAAAGTCTTTTAGACTTTTATATTAAAAGTCTTTTCAATCTAAAAGACACCAATCAATGTGTCTCTCACATCAATGTTTCTCTCTCTCTTTCTCTCTCTGAAAAAACAATGGGAAAAATATCCTCAGATGAGGATTAATAAAAATAATAATAAAGTAAATGTAAAGGCTTCTGGAACAAATAGTACCTGGCTCTAAATAAATACTTAAAAGCACCAGAAACAGTCAATGAACAAGAAAAAAAAAGTAATTCCTATCAATCTCAGAGGTAGTTGTTAGAATCAAGTGAAATAATAGGTCTTTGTGTAGTTTGACAAGTATGAAGTGCTAATCAAGTGTGAAGTAATATGAATACACACTATTTCCTGAAACAGTACATTCTCATGTTATGTTGCTTCTAGATGCTAGCAGAAAACTATTTTCAGAAACAGATTTGCATATATAATTTAGGATCCCTTTTCATTGTAATGGAAAATTTTAGGACAAAATTATGAAAACAAACTGACAGTTGATGCCATAACAAAGACCTGCATTTACCAATTGCTGCATTTACTTTACAACCAATCAGGAAAGTTTACGTGTATAGAAGTGCGATTCCACCTTGAACGACAAATGGGCTACTACCTGATCCAGATGTACATTCCCAGTCTCCTGATTGTTATTCTGTCGTGGGTTTCATTCTGGATCAATATGGATGCTGCTCCAGCCAGGGTAGCTTTGGGAATAACTACTGTGCTGACAATGACCACACAGAGTTCAGGATCACGAGCTTCCTTACCAAAGGTAAGTGCGCACAATGGACATAGCCATATGTTTGCACAAATATTTATAAATACATAACTTATATGCACATATAGTAGTGTTAGCTTTTGTCAGTCTTTTTCAATAGTATTTATTATTCATTACTGATCTGTAAGTAATATATAACCAAGGCAGAAAAAATTGTAAAACACAAAAGTAGATTAAAAAAAAATTCTGCAAACCAGTGACATCTTCTACTCACAGTTTGTGTTATGACCCCCAATTGTTTGAACATCAATAATACTTTTATACATTATAGAATTTTTTATCTGTAGATTTTTATACATTTAGAAATCTATCAAATATGTGTGTAAAATAAATCTATACAGTAACTTTAAATGGTGGCACAATACTCCATTGTATGGATGTACTATAATAATATACTTACTATTAGAACTAACACAATAGTGACATTTATATAATGAATATTATACATATGAATATACATACATACCTTTGTATATATGTGCATATATATACACATACACACATATATACAGACACACATATGGTTTTACATATATTTTGTATTATTTTCTTAATGTAAGTTCTTAGAACTGAAATTGCTGCTCTGATAACTGGAAGCATTGATATGTATTGCCAAATTTCCCATCAGAAAAATTTATAACAATTACACTTTCACAAGTACTGTATGAGAGTGCCAATATTGCTTCACACTGAGTTAAATGTATTATTTTGGGGGGTGTTTTCCCCCCCTCTATCCTTGAAGTAGTCACAGGTCAATAAAAAAAGAAAGCTTATCTAATACCACAATTTTAGTCCATTTTGAGCTGCCAGAATTAACATAAACAGTTCCCTTTATGAGGTTTGTAAAATAACTCATATTTTTCACAAGATATGCTGAAATAAAACATAGTAGCTCTTTTTATCCATTTAGCAATGTAACAATAGAAAATTAGTTTCTTCTTCCCAATGAACTCTAAGAAAGAAATTTCTATTATTTAATTAGATAATCCTAACTTCCAACAAGCTTCACTATTTCCATTGTAATGATAGAGATATGATAACATTATATTCACTTTTCTTGCACATTTGATGCAATTTAATTGCCGTGTGAACTAAATTATAAATAAATGCACAGTTATGGCTCCCTTAACCCTTACTACAAATAGCATTCTGCGTTTCCATTTGTTAGATTAAAATGCCCAAATAAATAAAAGTTGATGACAGGACATTTTATTACTAAAATGTTATTTAACGTAAGAAGAGCTTTATATTTAACAATGCTCACTCTGCCTTGGTAAGATTTAATGGCTGTCCATCAAAATAAGGTTTATTTTTGAAACACTGAATTGTATTTTCAAAATGATGCATATCAACTAGTGTGTTAGAAAATATTGTACATGTGAAAATTATAAACATACACATAAGATTAAATAAATTCATCTCAAAGCTTATTTATACACATATGTCTAAATGTCTCAAGGGCTTTCTGAGTAATAAAGTTCTATAGTTAATTTGTAAAGGAAATTGCCAGCTTACTCACTGATTTTCTTCATGAGCTAAACAGAAGTCAAAGCTCACTTATTATGTAAGTTGTCAACCAGAAAGAAGAGCACATAATGCTGTATATTAGGAAATCTCAGCATCAAAGAGGCACAACATAAAAGCATTTAGACACAGAGATTAAGGCAGAGTTGGGAGATCATAGAGGTTTGAGTGGAGGAAGCAGAAATAAAACAATAAATTATAAAAAATAAATGAAGACATAAGTTTGTTTGTTTAAAAAAAAAAAAAAGGAGCCCAGCGGGGCATGGCTCGGCTGTTGAGCGTTGACCTGGGATCCAGGCGATTGGGGTTCAATTCCCAGTCAGGGCACATGCCCAGGTTGTGGGCTCGATCAATGACTCTCTCGTCATTGATGTTTCTATCTCTCTCTCTCCCTCTCCTTTCCTCTCTCTGAAATCAATGAAGATATATTTAAAAAAAAAAAAAAGGAAAGAAAGGTTTGGGATGACTTCAAACTTTTTAGCAAAAAATAAGGAAGATGTTTTAAAAGGCATTTATTTCACCATGATCTCAGGGAAAGAATGAATTTTTAACTATGAATTCCATTATATACATAAATGTGCAGGAAACTTCTACATCTCTCAAATCATAGAGACAATGACCACTGGAAATGTGATAACATTTCATTCTGAGCCACACAAAAAGAATTGATGTCCTAGCATCATCTCCGTTTGGCTCAGTGGTTAAAGCGTTGGCCCTAAGACTGACGGGTCTCGGGTTGAATTCCATTGCAGGCTCGGTGCCCGGCCTGGGTTGGGGCGCATGCTGGAGGCAACCCATCAATGTGTCTCTCTCACATTGATGTCTCTCTCTCTTTCTCTCTCTCTCTCTGAAAAGTAATGGAGAAAAAAAAAGAACTGATTAGCAAGGTGATATCTTAAGAGAAGGTGACCATGTCATTTTAGGCTTTGTGATAGTTAAGGAATGGAAGGTTGAGCATGTTAGGTTATGTGCATTAGAATTCAGGGAAGGCAGATGGCGAATAGCCAGAATAAACAAAAATTAACCTATTGGAATGAAATCATTGGGGGAGGTACTAGAAAGGCAAGAGGCAAGGGTCTCATATTTGCATTCAAGAACAGATGTCTGAAACCATGGACCTTAAGATCTGCTATTCTCAACCTCACAAAAGAACTCTCGGATGCCTGAAAGACTTGCCACTAAAACAATCACCATTATCCTACTGACAAAATCTATAAGTAGGAAAACAAATTAAATTCAAGAAAACAATAGGGGTTATTAGGCATAGGAGGAAGAAACAATAAATCATTAATTTATAACTACTTAGTGTTTTGTCCAGGTTCCGTGCCAATACATCTCCTGTAGAATATGAAGAACTCAGAGTAGAAAAATCTCAAAGAACACACGTTAGCCAGCACCTTGAGAACTACAGAGCTGAGAGTCCTCTTTAATAACGGTCTTTACAGTGTCATAATGAAGTAAGCATGTAATAGCCCAGAGCAAGAAGACTCCTGTGATTCATTTCTTAGAACATGAAACTATTTGGCATTTCTGCACTGCCTTCATCAGTGGCCTGATGAGGGTGACAATGCATTCTCTTGCGAGCTACTTTTCAAAGTTGTATATTTTGATGAACACTTCTTAACACTGTGCCTGGAGGAGAGTGAATGAGAAAAAATGGTGGTGATTGTGAAGCCATGTCATAGAGGTTTTATAGACCTTGGTAAGGATTGGGTTTATTTGGGGTGGATTTTGAAAATATTTTAATTAGAAGTGTGATCTCTCTGACTTCCATTTGGAGGTCAGATAGAAGGGATAGAAGTGGAAACAGAGTAAACTATTATAGTCCAGAGCAGAGGATGGTCTGGCTACATTGGTAGCAGTAGAGGTAGGCAGTAGCAGGTGGATTTAGAAATAGGTAGATTTTTTTGAGAAGGTGTTTTTGGAGGTGCAATAGACATGATTTACTTATGAACTGGACATTGAGGACTGCTGAAAATGCAGGAGTGGAGAGAGGCATTTGGGTGAGTAACTGGGCAAGCAGTTGTGATAGTTACTGATGAGGAAGTTGGTGAAGGAAACGGATCTGTGGTCAAACATGCTAATTTTGAGATGTTTATAAGATAACCAGACAGAACTGTCAAAAAGTCAAAACTTCCAAACTTCTGACCAGGGATATGTAGGCCTCAGACTTCAGGGAGTAAACTGTAGTTGGATAGAGAAGTAGACCAGAGACAATTTTCCCAGGTATAAAAGAAAGCCCAGAAAGAGGAAGAAAAGATATATTTGTGGTTGACCCTCCTCCTGTAGTTGGGAATAGACCTGAATATTCAAAGTCACCTCTCTCCTTTCTTTCCCCATGGCCATATCTCCCCCATATACAGAATAAGTTATTTGGTTTAGTTAACGGTAAGAACCACTCACCCCAAAACTTTTCTCTCAGACCCTGAGATCTCAACATTGTGAGGAATTTTTAAGATGTGCAAAGGCAATCTTTCCTGGGAGGATTAAGTTTTAATCAGAGTAAAAGAGGGATAGTAATAATCATTTAATTATATTTTAGTATAAACTTATTATACTAATACCTTGTTAAACCCCTTGGAACTGGGGGAATCATATTCTTTATTAAGTATGGGGGTGGGTAGAAATAAAATAAAGAGAAGGGACAAAATATAATTTTAATTTAGAAACTATGGTTTCTAGAAAAAACTCACAATAGAGAACTCTGGTACAATCATGGGTATTCTGCAATAGTGCATACACCTTACCATTTTTTATCTGCTTTCAAAGATCAGTTATTTCCTTTTAGAGACCTACTCCCATTCCTTTTTTTGTTCTGTTTCATAGGGACCAGCTAAAGTCTAGCTTTTCGCCTGTTTTCTGTTTTGTCTCATTTGCAGAAATACATGAGTATAACCATGTACACACTAGTTTAGTCTTTGAGAAGTGAGCTTCAAACCTATTATCATTATCAGAGACCCTTGAACTTAGGAAGTCAAACAGACAGATACATGTGCATGAACACACACTCACACAAACACCCAGACACAAACTTGACAGAGGTGGGGGAAATCTCTAGATTCCACATTCATTCAAACCCTAGCTCTGATCACAATATATTATGAGATTCATGGGGCTATAGGCGCTGTTTCAATGCAGTTATACTGCAGTTATTCTGCATAACAATCTCCAAATGTCAATGGCTTATCACATTCTTTCTTGCTCAGAGGCCTGCGACTCTTCTGGGTTTGTCTGAGATTGGCTGCTTTAAGATAGGCTTGGATATAGGTGTGAAGTGGGTTCAGATCTGCTCCCTGGGTCTTCCCATTTTGGGACCTCAGGTACCAGTAGCATTCTTTTTCCACGGAGGAGTGCAGGAAAGCAAGAATAGGCATAGTTACTTCTGTTCTCATTCCCTAAGTAATACCAGGGTAGGGGACTATACTCCTCCCATGGGGAACCCTACGAGAGAAAGGGAGGAAAAGTGGGATTGTCAACAAATAATCTTATCTACCTCGGAGATTATGATTTGCTAAAACTTTCTATCTCCTTTCTTAGACCAGGCTCTCTCATATCAACAAATAGTTAAGAAAACAGGAGGGGAAGAAGGGATAGAGAAAGGAAAGGGGGAAGATCATATGTGATTTCTCCCATTCTGCCCAACCACTATAGCCATCTCATTCAGCATAGAGCTAGTAATCACTGAAAAATAAGAGACACCTGAAATTTCAAAGGTGGTGAATCAACTCAATTAAATATTTCACAGAAGCCAGGAGCTGATGAAAATTGCAAATTCTGCACCAAAAGCTGTTTACCTTAAATGATTTCCTCTCACTTTTACCCCCATTTAGTTTGTGTGTAAAACCCACAAGGAGTAGCTTTTTGAAAGGACAAACTGTCTTGTACTTATTTCTATCCTCAGGGCCTAACTCAGTACACAGTGTGTGTCTATTGAGTAAATATCATGCAGATATTTAAAGACAATGTGAGCTTTTAAACATTTACTCAGTACTGAGCTTTTAAACATTTACTTGAAAAACAAGAGTATGTCATTTTATTCATCTCTCTAAAGAGAATGTGAAAGTTCAAATTACTCTTTACTTATGGAGAGCCCCATTTTCCCCCTGAGAATCACCAAATTAATAGAAAAGCATTTTAAATATTACGTATATGTACTTTACAGCATAATAAAAACATTGGTTCTTAGAAAACATAAAGGTAGGTTTCATATTGTTTTTATTTTCTATAAAGATGCCAACTATGGAAGTGATTACGACTGTTAGAAAACATAAATTGAACTATTATTTTTATTTGAATAGCATGGTTATGTGGGTGCACAGAGATCTATGTATGACATTATGTTGAAAAAACAAGAAGAAAATGAAGAATTTCTATTCATTATTGTGTTCTTATCTAATTAGTTCTCAAAATATATATTATTCTTCTCAAATAAATACCCTGCAGTTTTAAAGAAGAGGAAATTGTAAATATGAGCAATTATGTAAATGGGGGTAGGGTGGAGAGAGGGGCTGCAGAGTAATCAGGTTTTCCTATTAACATAGCAATTAGTGACTGTTGCTCTTAGTAATGTTTTGGCCCTCACCATTTAAATACAAGATTCTAATACCTATTCAAAATATAGTTAACTAAAATTACTTCAATCAAGTTTAGTACAAATGTGATACAAGTGGGTTCGTTTTAGATTTATTAATGTGATTACTTAATGCTTGTAAATGCATTTTACATTTCTATTTCTTGATTGATTAATAGTCTGGATTATAATTTATAATTTAGTAAGTATAATTTACTATAACTTTATGGTCTGGGTGATAGTAAAATAACTATTTACTCACCAATGCTTTGTCATCTATGAGCTGTATGGAGTAGGGCAAAAGCATGCCTTTTGGCAGGCCTCTCAACTATAGCATTTGGTTCCATTCTTCTAATACAGCTCACCCAATGTGCTTGTAAGGGAATATAGTCTACTAGGTTTCAACATCTGAATTTTGAAAGGGCATATTCAGCCTCTAATGGTAGCTATATGACAAGTTATTTTACTTAAGGAGGTTATTTTACTGTGCCTCTGTCTCCACATCTCTAAAATGGGAATAATGTCCTCAGTGGTTGTGAGGATTAAAAGTCTTACTTTTGGACAACTATGAAAAAACATTTAGTAGTTCTATGGACATTACTAAGAACATTCCTCGCCATGTTAGCTATTAGAACTAATTCTCTAATAATAAAAGGCCGGTGATTATAACTCACTCCACATGGTTCAATCAAATCAACATTATCCAAGAGCCTGTATTATAATGAGCACCAAACGAGGTCCTAGAAAGGCAAAGATGAATAAGATCTGACCCTTGTTTTAGCTCAGGGGATATATTAGCCAAAAGGAGAAAGTTACACAAATGAATAACATCAGTACAGTGGGTTAAGGTCAATAACTTAAAATGGATCTTGTCTGTCTGACTTGTCTCTGTGACTACAACACTAAGAACAAAATTTGGGTACATTAATGGTGTTCAGTAAATGTTGAATGTAAAAAAAGTGAATGAATGCATGTAGTAAGAAAGGTAAGTTGGAAGCCAATCATGAAGGAATTTATATACCATAAAACAAATTTTGGACATGTATCTAATGGGTAACACTGAGGAGAGATTGTTGCTTAAAATAGAATTAGGGTTCCAACAGCACAGTGGATGATGGAACTGTTGGCAAGGTGGTCCAGAAGGATGGACCAAATTGGACTGAAACTGCCCCAAAGGACAGACAGCAGGCAGGAAGGGGTGGAAAGAAGGTGATCATTCTGAATCACATAAGGAGTATGCTATAAGGTCATGAGCATGTTACAAATATGTTGGAGTAAGAGCTGCTATCTTTATTTAAAGTTACTAAGCCAATATTCTTTCTGATTGGTGTTGCAGCCTTCTTAGGATATATTCCTAGAAGTGGGATCACTGGGTCAAATGGCAGTTCCATTTTTAAGTTTTTGAGGAACCTCCATACTGTTTTCCATAGTGGCTGCCCCAGTCTGCATTCCCACCAGCAGTGTACGAGGGTTCCCTTTTCTCCACACCCTCGCCAGCACTTGCTGTTTGTTGATTTGTTGATGGTAACCATTCTGGCAGGTGTGAGGTGGTACCTCACTGTCATTTTAATTTGCATCTCTGATAATTAGTGACGTTGAACATTTTTTCATATGTCTCTTGGCCATTTGCATGTGCTCTTTAGAGAAGTGTCTATTCAGGTCCTCTGCCCATTTTTAATTGGATTATTTGTCTTTGTTTTGTTGAGTTGTCTGAACACTTAATATATTTTGGAAATTAAACCCTTATCAAATATATCATTGACAAATATGTTCTCCCATACAGTGGGTTCCCTTTTCATTTTGCTGCTGGTTTCTTTTGCTGTGCAGAAGTTTTTTAGTTTGATATAGTTCCATTTGTTTATTTTTTCCTTTGTTCCTCCTCTAGAATATATGCACCCCTATGTTCATAGCAGCCTTATTTACAATAGCTAAGACCTGGAAACAGCCTAAGTGTCCATCAGTAGATGGATGGATTAAAAACTGTGGTACATTTACACAATGGAATACTATGCAGTTGTAAAAAAAATGACCTCTTACTCTTTGAGACAGTATGGATGGACCTGGAGAGTATTATGCTAAGTGAAATAAGCCAGGCAGAGAAAGACAAGTATCCCATGATCCCACTTATATGTTGAATCTAATGAACAAAATAAACTGATGAACAAAATAGATTCAGAGACATTGAAGCATGCAACAGACTGACATATTTCAG